GGGGAAAGGGGGAAAGGGGCGTGCGATGCGATGTGACGCATGCGATGAGAGAGGAAGGACAAAAGCGAAGAGGAGATGAGGGTGGGTAGAGACTTTGTCCTGTTAGCTAAGAAAATAAAGGATCGTTCTCGGGGTTATAAGAAAGTGAGGAAAGGGAGAACATCTCTCTCTTTCTCTCGTTCTGAGTTGTTCGATGTATCTCTCACTCCCTCGGTTACCGCTGCCAGCTCGATCCCAGGTCAACGCGCTTTTCCTTAAGGAATCGTGGTCAACGCTCTTTCCTTTATGGAATCGTGGCCGACATATTGGTGTTTCCCACAAAAGCTTCCCACAAATCCGTTGAAAACAACAGAGCACTGCCCACCACTTACTTTGAATCCAGGAGCAAGACGAGAGACGGCGAGAGAGAGACACACACACCACACACAAACAACACACACCTGTGCAACTGCAACACACGGGAGCAAAGGCGCTTCACAGGATTTACTGTGAGGTGTAGTGACTGTGGGTTTTGCGGGTGTCAACCCTTCACCCTTGGCCTGGCTTTCTAAACCTCTCTTGAAACAAAACGTCTCTTTGAGCCTGAGTTTAGGCAACGTTGGTGCGTAATTCTATAACATCTACACATCACTCCAAACATCTCAAAGCGCAGAGTCAACATCGGGTAAAAGTCCAACCATCTCTTTCTGAATGTTATTAATGAAGGGGCGGTGGGTGGGGAAGGAAGGAGAGAGATGATGGTCAGAATGGCATTGCCTGTGGGGAGGTGGGCAACTCGGTCAATTCCGATAGTATCTTCTAGTGGTCAACAATGGCTAACTATTCACTCTCTTGCTTGTAGAAGTTTGTGCGTGTGTTTGCGTTTGTGTGTGTGTTTGTGTGGGTATGTGGGTGTGTATGCGTGTGTATTTGTGTGTGTGTGCATGCATTTGAGAGAGTGTGTAAGAGTGTTTGTGCGGGTGAGAGTGTTGATTTTGTGTGCGACCGTGTGTTACATGTGCGTGCGAGCGTGTACGTGTGCACGGCCACTACTCTGAGGTGCCTGAGAGACGGTGTAAAACGCCCACATTTTCTGTCTCTAACATTTTTCCGTTATCTCTTTGGAAGGAGAATTGGCTCATTGACACTCAGCGAGTGTCACTGGCAGAGATTAGGAAACACTGCAAGAGGAATTCAGCCCTGAGGCAAGCGGAGCTGGAGGTGAGAAAGAGCGAGAGCGAGAGCAAGGAGACAACATCTCGTCACGAACATACGAGAGGTCAGAGGCCCTGAATTCCACCTGGTTTTCGCCTCTGGGACAACAAGCGACAACGACACTCACAGCTCAAAAGCGATTCGGATGAAGAAGGCCCTTCGGCCTATCTGATCTCACCCTTCAACAACACCACCACCACCACCACCGTGTGTGTATCCAGCGCCCCTCAAGCAGGTTAGCGTCCCAGAGCGCTTCGACAGTAGATTGAACACCTCTCCAGCCTCACTGTGGGAAACCAGTTTCTCGCTCGGGTGAGAATGAATGAATTTGAAGAGTTTGTTTCCCCCAAATTTTAAAACGTTACGAGTATATCCGTCAAGCGAGGGAGTGTCAGGAGTTTTTTTTTGTCAGAGCTCAAAGGTCACTCACGATTCCGACGAGGACAGCAAACAACAACAGCAACTTGCATTTATACAGCGGCCTTCACAAGGGGCAGTGTCTCGGAGTGCTTAACCACGATAATAATAATAATAATGATATAGCGCCTTATCACGTTCTTCAAGACGTTGCAAAGCGTTTCCACATCCCCTACTGGTTCCACCTCTACAGCGCTGTGGGGCAGAAGAGCACATCTTCAATATCGTCTCCGTAATGAAACGCGTTCCCCGATCTCAGTCGTGACTGTCTGGGTTCTGATAATTCCTTGCCTGTTGGTGCTGAGTCAGTTAATCCCGTGTCTAGCAACGAGACCTCAATGGCCTACGTCCCAGGGCTGGGGCTTTGCTCTCTCTTTCCACAAGATTTTGAATTGATTTAGAAAATAATTACTTTGAAGTGAGTTCAAACGCTGAGTGCTGGGACACTTAAGTCGCTTTGCGCTCGAGCTATTTTTCTTTGAATCGGCTGGTGGAGGGGGCTGGGGTGGGGGTGTGGTGGGGGGGGGCGGAGGGGCTGGGTGGGGGTGTGGTGGGGGGGGGGGGGGGGGTGGGGGGGGGGGGGGGGCGGGGGGGGCTTTTGGGGGGGGGTGGGGGGGGGGGGGGGGGGTGGGGGGGCGGGGGGCTGGGGTGGGGGTGTGGTGGGGGGGGGGGGGCTGGGGTGGGGGTGTGGTGGGGGAGTGGCGGTGTGGTGGGGGGGGGGGGGGGGGGGGGGGGGGGGGGGGGGGTGGGGGGGGGGGGGGGTGGGGGGTGTGGTGGGGGGGGGGGGGGGGGGGGGGGGGGGGGCGGAGGGGGCGGGGGGGGCTGGGGTGGGGGGTGTGGTGGGGGGGGGGGGGGGGGGGGGGGGGGGGGGGCCCTGGGGTGGGGGTGTGGTGAACATGAGTGGAACCTCCTCCCTGCGCTTAAGAGTCCCAATTTGCAGCAGCAAAGTTACTGTTTTCTCAGTTTATAGGGTTTGACATTCTAAGCGCATCCAAACCCACCTGAGAGTTCCCGGTCTCCCACCTACACGTGGAAATCCCAGAGGGAGATTGTTGGAATGGAATGCGCTCTCTCTCTCTCTCTCTCTCTCTCTCTCCCTGGAGAGACGCCTCCTGCTTACCTAATTCCAGAGAGTATTAGGCGCGGGTTGGCGAGAGCCAAGGCTTGGGGGGAGCCCAGAGTGTGCGTTGGGGGTAACTGCTGTGGTCTAACCAACTAGAACCGCAGAGCTTAGCCATTGAGAGCGCTGTCTGACAAGCTTTCCCGCTGCTTGTCCAGCTACGACCGCCCAACCCGTTAGTTAGGGCTTTGGCTGCGGGGTTAACAGGAGCTGAGGGGGAGGATTCCCAACATCCCACCTGACCTGAGCTTGTTTCCTCCTAAAAGTTAAGAATCGCGAGTAACTGGGTAAAATTTTGCTCTAATTTAGAAGGCAGTATTTTTGCGGTTTGTTTGTAAGAACCACGAGCTTTTGAATTAAGACCGGATTAAAACATTCCCCTCAACTCTGAGTGATATTGCATTTAAAATGTATAAAACACAGCGAAAACTTTGCGGCGGTTAAGCCATTGGGTTACAATATTAATTGGTCACCACGAGAGGGAGAGCCTTTCTAAATGCAAAGTGTTTCTGCACCACCTAATGGGCAGAGAGATTTCTGTAGTAAGTGCCCTTCTTCCTCTGCCATCTTGTGGTGATTTGCTAATACGACTTAAATTGCACCTCTCGTGCAGTGTTAGGAAATGTTACTGTACCTTTACACACGAAAGGAATCTTCGCAGACGACTTTGAGATGTTTTGCACTGTAAAGGCGCTATGTCAAATGCAAGGAGTCCCGTAGTGAAAGGGTTAGAGCACAAACGAGAGGACCCGGGTTTGATTCCTGGGCAGAGCGAAATGTTGACCAAGTTTCCCTACTCCACGCGCCTCTGTTTACCAGCGGTCAGTAGGAACCCGGTGGTTAGTCGATTGGTGGATCGCTTTCCAGGGGTATTAATCCTCCCCCAAAAAATGCGGTCACTTCAATCTGTGTTCTAATGATTCTAATCCACGACTGTCTGTGGGACGCCGCTGTGCGCAATTGGCTGCTGCTGCCTTTCGCCCACTGAACCGTCTGCACTAAGCACGATACACTTCACAGTATATCCTGTGAAGCGCTTTGAGACGTCTGAACGACGCGATAAGGCGCCGTATCCAACGCAGGGATTGCTATTTATTAAGAGAATCACAGAATGTAAGCGGCACCAAAGAAAAAGCATTGCCGACACTCCTCCTGCAGGGAGCTGTCTGTCACTCGTTTTCCTGCAGTAATCGCGGTGTTCAGGCCGATACAAGTGCCCTCACACGTTCTGTTTGAAGACATATTTTGCCGTAAGGCATTTGATCTGTTTTCAAATGGCGAGTACAGTGATTATTGTGCGGGTTTCACTCGCTGATCAGTAACGTAAGATCCAAGACAGTAAAGAGAACGAAGTCAGACAGATACCGACGGAGATCAAACGAATGGTCTCGCAGTGGCCTCTGCTGGTCACGAAGCAATACTGCTCTGAAACAACATTCGGGTTAAAATAGACACCTTTTCCGACACCCCCACCTTCTGAAAACAGGACATCTTCCTGTACGTCCATCTGACGTGAAAAAGCGCCACACACACACACACCAAATACACACACACACACACACACTCCACACAGCCACCCCCCCCACACACACACACACACACACCAAATACACACACACTCCACACAGCCACCCCCCCCATACACACACACACACACCAAATACACACACTCCACACAGCCACTCCCCCCCCATACACACACACACACACACACACACTCCACACAGCCACCCCCCCCCACACACACACACACCAAATACACACACACACACACTCCACACAGCCACCCCCCCCATACACACACACACACCAAATACACACACACACACACTCCACACAGCCACCCCCCCCATATACACACACACACCAAATACACACACACTCCACACAGCCACCCCCCCCCATACACACACACACACACCAAATACACACACTCCACACAGCCACCCCCCATACACACACCACCCCACACACACACACACCACTCCCACACAGCCACCCCCCCCCCATACACACACACCACACTCCACACAGCCACACACACACCACACTCCACACAGCCATCCCCCCCCATATACACACACACCAAATACACACACACACACCCATTCCACCCCCACCCCCCCCACACACACACACACAGCCACGCAGACCCACACACTCACAAACACACAACCCCACAAACACGCACCACGCACACGCACACATAATTTGTTGTTATTGCTGTTGAGAGCAGAGAAGAAACAAAAAGAAACAAATCTCCAAGTCGTTCTGGAATTAATTTTTAATTGGAGTGACAGGTTTGTCGAGGAGTGAGCAACGTTAAAAAAAAATAGATCCGTCTCTCGCCAAAACGGATCTGTAGCATCGCCCACAGTGTCTGCTGCAGAGAGATCATCGCTGGGGAAGAGCACTTGGGCTCCCTCGTTCCTTATTTACATTTACAACAGTTTTCCGTCAGGCCTGAGGGGCTGGGCTGAGGGGGGTTAGAGGGTTCAGAGGATGTTGATGGAGAGCAGGAGGTGGAGGAGGGTTAGAGCGAAAAGGTCCGTGCTCGAGGCTGTGGCGGAGTCGGTGGGAGCTGGAGGGAAGATGTGAGCCAGGCTGTTCAGTCTGGTGTAAATGTAGGCGCGTTCCTGCGAAGGTGGTGAGAGAGAGAGAGAGAGAGAGTGGGGTCACTGTCCTCTGTTCAAGCAGCATCGCATTCTCAGAAGCTGTCAACGAGTTTGGAAATCAATTCACCGCGGCTTGCGGCCACAGCAATAACACAAATAATCCTTGCGTTTGATACAGCGCCTTATCAGGGCCTCCGAGCGCTTCACAGGATATGCTGTAAAGTGGAATGAACACGTGTATTGTGGGCGAAAACGCGGCAGCCGGTTTGTGAAAGACAATGTCACAGAAACACCCGTGGGAGTGGGCGATTTGGGGATTTGTCGGCCAGGACACCAGGAGCGAGTAACTCCCTTCTCTATTCGAATAGCATCCCGCAAGATTTTTAATGCCCAACTGAGCAGGCAGACGCACCTCCGACAATGCCTCACATCTCCAGCACGGCATTGGAGCGTCAGCTGAGACTACGTAACTCTGAAGTCCTGCCGTGGCGGGGCTTGAACCCACAACCTTCTGGCTCAGAGGCAAGAGAGAGGGAGAGAGAGAGAAGAGAGAGAGAGCGAGAGTGCTCTGTGTGGAGAAACCGCCTGCATTTGCTTCAGTGGCCTTTTGACATTTTTTTTCACAAAAGCCACAGAGAGGTAAACATCTCAAAGAGTATTACACAATCGAAATCAATGTGAAAGCGAATGTTGTTATTCAGTCAAACGATGGGCCATAACCGTCAAGAGTTACACAAAACATTACACCGTCCAAACAAGACTATTTGGACCGACTATTTTGTGCCGGCACTTATACTGCAGACAGCCCCCACCCCCACCCCTACAATAATAATAATCCTTCATTTGATACAGCACCTTATCATCGAGACGTCTAAATGCACTTGAAGGTATATACTGTAAAGTGAATTGACTGCGTCATCAATACAATACTCTATTCTCTCTCTCTCTCTCTCTCTGTTCTCTTTCTCTCTCGCTATTCTCTCTCTCACTATTCTCTCTGGCTCTATTCTTTCTCTCTCTATTTTCTCTCTCTCTCTGTCTCTATTCTCTCTCCTTCGTGTATCGATGATGTTCTGACTTGGATTCTTCAAAGATCAGAGCCAAAGATCTCAAGATTCTGTAGTCGTATAATTATAACACGATCAGCACCACATGTCGCCCCACAAAACCACAAGGACAACAACTGAGACATTTCCTAAACCGAGCGCTAAGTGACACCTGACGAGAGTGGTAACCCCTGGATGCCCAACAATACTCCAATGGTTTACAACTGGTTAAAACGACAACAACAACAACTTGTATTTACACAGCGCCCTTCACCCGGGATAGCATCCTGGAGCGCTCGAGAGTGGCGGAGTCTGACACTGAGCCACGAGGAGGGGGTGGGGGGCGGGGGGGAAGAGGGCGCGAGCGAGGTGACCATAAGCACGATCAAAAAAAAGGTCTTTTGGCAGGATTTGAAAGTGAGGAGGGCAGCGGAGGGATTGAGGGAGAAAGTGACGGAGTTTCGAAGCGGCTGAAGGCACAGGCCACATGCAACAACAGATGCGAAGAGCAGGATTTCCCTCCCTACCTTTGACGGGCAAATGAGCTGCACCGGCTTTGAAACCGAATAAATCTCCACTTTGCTCCCTTCGGGCTGGAACTGCAACGCAAACCAAAGCCCAAATCACCATAGTCAGTCTCGTGAGACAACGCATAACAATAATAATAATAATCCTGGCATTTTATATAGCGCTTTTCGCGTCTTCTCGCCGTCTCAAAGCGCTTCACAGAACAGACTGTAAAGTGAATTGACTGTATATTTGTGGGCGAACGCGGCAGCCAATTGCGCACAGCAATGTCCCACAAACAGCCGTGGATTGAAAATGACCAATTTTTATTACTGTTTTTGTTATTTGGAGGGATTATTATTTAGGCTCTGTGTGGAGTAAGGAAACTTGCCCAAGGTTCCTCAAAGCGGGACCTTCTCGGGGTTTGCGTCTCAAACACTTAAGCGCGATTGCGAACGTAAATGCAGACGAATACTGTGGGATGCACAGAGTAAGAAGCCCATCGCGCCCCCTCAGATCTAAAAATTAATCCTTAGATTCGATTCAGTGCCTTTCCAGTCGGGAGGACGTCCCAAAGCGCTTCTCAGGGTTTGCTGTCCAAGCGTATCTTTACGTTGTGGGTCTCATGGCCAAAAGTGGCCGCCAATCTGCTCCCAGCGCCGGTCGCTTGGTCTGTGGGCGAAGTAATGACCTTGCGTATCGCGAGAGTTAGCGACCTTGTTTAAATGCCGTCAGGCTCGGAGCGATCTTTCGTACCATGTTGTTCCACAATGCCTTCGCCATCTCCTCGTGCCCTTTCACGCTGAAGTGGAAGCAGTCAGGGCTGAAGAAGGAGTAGTCAATAACTCCGGCCTGAACAGAGACAGAGAAACCGAGTCATGGCTTTTTGGGGTCTGTTCTGGATGATTATGACTTTCCGACCGACTGTTTTGACGTTGGAATCAGCGCAGGAAGAGTGAGGTCAAATAAACCAGCGCCCGACTGCAACCTGCTTTTCATGACAGGAGCTCATATGCACATTCTGTACACGATGGAGCCAGGTTGGGACTTGAGAGGTTGCAAAGGAGCATAGCGCGAGGGATTGAAAGATCTGACGCAATCTAACAACAACAACAACAACAACCAGTGTTTATACAGCACCCTCACACAGGGGAGCGTCCTGGAGCGCTTAACAGAACTGGTGAACTGACCCTCAATAGGAGCTGAAGCGACAATGTGTTGAACATTGGCCTATGTTTCAAGCCAATTAGCTGGTCGTTGTTTGGGAGCTGTGGGGGTGAGGATGGAGGGAAAAGGGTGGTAAAAAGTACAAGAGATAGGCTTTCAAAGAGGAGAGGGAGAGGGGGCGAGTGAGAGAGTTGGGGGAGGGGGGCAAACTATTATGAACACACGATTTACCGCATTTAATGGAGGTGTGGCACTTTTCAGAAAAGGTTGAAGGATAACGGTGAAATCTTGTTTGTGGTCATACCTCCCCGTGTCAATTAGTTCTTCGAGACTGGTCTGAGGGTGAGAAAGAAAGACTTACAATTATCTGATCACTGTAAAAACAAGTATAATAATCCTTGCATTTCATGTAGAATTGGCCTTTTTTTTACTTTGGAGTCCTGTAGCTTAGTGGTTAGAGCACTCGCTTGGCAAGCGAGAGAGAGGACCTGGGCTCGATTCCCGGGCACGGAAAAACGTTGGGCAAGTTACCTTACTCCACACACACGCCTCTGTTTACCGAGCAGCAAGTAGGGACTCGCTTGTTGGCTGTTAAAGACCCAAAGGTGCTATTCCTGAAGAAGAGCATGGAGTTCTCCATCAGTGTCCCAGCCAGTGTGCCGGCCATACCCCACGTCAATAAATAACACAGCTTCAATGTGACCATTGCACTCTGTGGGATATTTCTAGCGGAGATTAGTTGTCAAGTTTTTTAGTTGTCATCCAATACAGTGCTGGGGGCAGTGCTGCATTGTTACAGGTGCCGTCCTTCGGATCAGACATTGCACTAAGGTCGTGTCTGCCTGTTCAGGTGATGTCAATGTCAAGATCCAATTGCCACTGTTTGAAAAGGAGAACGGAGTTTCTCTCTCCGAGTTCTTGGCCAACAATTGCCCCAAATAAAATCGGTCATTCAGTTGGGTGTTTATGGGATGTTGCTGTGCACAAATTGACTGCCACGTTCACCCTCAAAGTTCAGTGGCTACACTCCGCAGTTACATCCTGTGAAGTGCTTTGCATCAGTTTGATGACGTGACAAAGCACTGTATCAAACACAAGGATTATTATTATTATTACTACAATAGTACAGTCGCCACACTTCAAAAGGAAACCCATCGTGAGAAACACTTTTGAGCCGTTAGCTGTAACAAACACAGATTATTATTTATTTCTTGTTGTGTATTATCTGTGGGGAAGATAAGAGTCAGCGAGTTTTTCACGTGTCCTTTGAACGGGAGATAACTGTGCTGGATTCTCCAGGGATGGAGTTTATACACATTCTCTTGTGCATCGTCAATTAAAGGCCTCTCTAGATGCTGCTTTATTCCGTCCTCGAATTGATTAATGTAATGGAGGTGGGCAACAGCTCCTGTGCCCCTCTGTGTAGGGCAGCAGCAGATTATTTCCCCATCATCCGAAGGAATTAATACTTTGCTGTTCTTTTTGTTTTGCGTGGGTGTGTGCGCTTTCGATAGACAATTAAATTAAAAACACAGACCGCCCCCCCCCCCCCTCCTCCCTCCCCCTTTGCTCTTTGTAACGCACTCTTTCTGGTTATATTTACAGACAGGGAACTTTGTCATCGATGATCGCCTACCATTAATATATTAATTATATTATTATTATCGTTACCTGAAACTCTTCGTTAATTCCTCGCAGCTCTCTCAGCTCCACCGATCCGGGAGTTGGATTCACTAAACACGGGCAGAATTTCCTGCAGCAATAACAAATATTGACCGTTTGCTTATATTCCGTTTCTTATACTAGGAACATAGGTACAGGAGTGAGGCCATTCAGCCCCTCGAGCCTGTTGTGCTATTCTATAAGATCAAGGCTGATCTGTACCTCAACCCCAATTACCCACCTTTGCTCCATATCCCTTGATATCCCCTGAACTAACAAACATCTCTCCACCTCAGTCTAGACAACGTGAATTTTTAAATTTGAACGGATCCAGTAATCGAACCGGGATCCAACGCTGGAGGGAAACCGCTTTGCACAAGAAAGGTGGCAGAACTGGAAAAAATATCTTTGCTGCTGCCCTTAGTTCCGGACTGATAAATAATAAGCCTCCATTGAATAACACACAGAGGCTTTAAAGGTAAAAGTCAATCCATACCGTTGAAGTAAGCATCCAAAGGAGCCATCGTTGACCACGCGAAGTCCCTCTATTGGCAGCAACTGGACTAAGTTCACTACAGTTCGCGGCATCTGCGCGAAAGAAGGTTTGTGTGTTCAGTTTCTAATTCGTCAATAACATTTTCTCAATGGCTCGCTTTGTTCTCGCGCTCCGCTGTGGGTGGTGTCAGTCTGGCTGGCTTCGGAGTCAGAAGGTCTTGGGTTCAAGCCTCGCATCATGACTTTGAGCCCACACTCTGGGCTGGGGGTGGGAGGGTGAGGGAGAAGGCGAGGGAGAGCTCGAGCTCTGCCGGTGCCCTCCTTTTTGGACGAGATGTTGAATCAGGTCCTGTCAGGTCAGGTGGATATTAAAGATTCCCTGCCACTGTCTGAGAGGGATTTCTACCGGAATCCTGGCCAACAATAAAACAATATCAATCGTTCACTTCACAGCTGTTGGTGGGACACTCAGCTGTCCGCAAACTGGCTGCTGCTTTCCTCCTACAAAACACACAGTCTCTACAGTTTACAGGGGGAAAAAAAAGGTAAAGTGCTCTGTCAATCACACATCGATGGTGTAAGTCAATAAGGCCCTACGTTGAATGGAAAGGATTATTATATTATTATCATCATCATCCCAATAAGAACAGGTCAAAATCTAGACCCAGAACATTACTCAACAGCTAAACGGCACACAGGAGGGAGATGTCAGGGGCCGCTTTGTACTATTGCTAAAATAGGAAGGAGACGTTCTGTAGCAAATTAGATAAATATTTAAGCAATCTGCTTTCAATTAAGGCTATTGTAAATATCTGCTGACAAGTGTGGTTGAACAGTGCACTTCATTGTGTAATTAGCAGTTACTGTGCGCACTGTAAATTGAGAATAAATGCATTATAAATCAAGTGCGGTTATGACTGATGAAAATCCGGCCTGATTTATGACTGAAGATAGAATACGGAGCACAGAACAAAAGGAGGTTCTACCCAGCGCTCAGGAGCACAGTTGATGTGGGTAGAAAATTCTCAGGACTATTAAGAAAACTAAACCCCCCCCGAACACATCATGGCTGTGAGTCACACAATAAAACGATTGCAGAACTGATTCCAACCCTCCTCCCTCCCTCCCTCACTGAAAGAAAGACTCACAGACCACTTTCGTCTTGATGGTGATCCTCAACACATGAATGAAACTGAGATGACGACATCCATTTATATAGCGCCCTTCACACTTGGGATAGCACCTCAGAGCGCTTCACAGTGGCGAGGTGGGACACCAAGCAAGGAAGAAGGGGGTGAGGGGTGAGGTCTGGGGGGAAGGTGACCATAGGCGCAGTCGGAGGTAGGTTTCAAGGTGGGGTTTTGGAGATTGATAGAGAGGAGGCTGATGTAGGAGAGGAGTGAAGAATCAGCCACTGAAGGCAGGCACGAGAGGGTGGGGGAGCAGAGATGGTGCCACAGAGGAGTGGGCTATGAGATCAGAGAGATTGGGAGATTGAAAGGGATTTACATGCGACGGTGAGGATCGTGTGTGGAAACACCTAATGACTGAAGGCAATGGATTCCATTGATCTTAAGAGGCGTCGTCCACTGTTCCTTATAAGCTAAATAATGAAAGCTTTCAACTAGAAGCAGGTGATCGTGTTATTATGGGATGGTCCAGTTAGAAGCCAAAAAAAACTATACGAACTTTCACTGGACTCACTCCACCATTGCTGAGATACTATTTTGCGTAAAGAATGGTATACCTGTCCAAGTGTCATCGTTGAACTGATCGTAAAACGGTTCAACTCTTATTTTCTTTCCAGTGATGGTTAAAGGGACCAAAGAACATTTAGTTGGGGTGGGGATGGGGAAACAATTCAGATCTTTTTGAGACATGACTTACCTCCTTGGAAAGTATATCCAAGGCCTCAGTGACATTGTGTATGAAGCTGGAAGGTGAATAGAGAACCTGCGACAAAATGTATCTCGTTAATAAAATCATAAAGCAAGCATTGATCTAGATCTGCCGTAAAAAAAATAGGTCTAAATGTAAACATCCTGTAGTTCAGGCTTTAGAGCAAGCGAGAGGACCTGGGTTTGATTCCCGTGCAGGGAGAAACGTTAGGCAAGTTTCCTCACTGAGCATGCCTCTCTTTACCCAGCAGTAAATAGGATCCTGGTTGTTAGTCAATTGGCGGATCACTAAGCAGGGGTTATAATCCTTCAAAAAAAGTAAATAAATAAAATACTAATAATCATTTGGTCGCTCAATCCACGACTGTTTGTGGGACGCTGCTGTGCGCAATTGGCTGCTGCGTTTCGCCCACAAATATATACAGTCAATTCGCTTTAGCAGATATTCTGTGAAGCGCTTTGAGACGTCTCAATGACATGATCAGGCGCTATATCAAAAGCAAGGATTATTATAAAAATAACCACAGGTTCTTCAAATTCGTAGTACTATGATTACTACCAAAAAAAAATCCAATTCCTCCAATACTCATCCAATTTTGCAATATTTCTTAATAGGATTCCTTAATGGTTTAAACACATGGTTTAGCCTCAATAACTATTCAATGCAAAGCATTCTATGTTTCCGAGATCCTTACTGCTGGCGGTGGGGGTGAGGACGATGGGGGAAACCTACTTAACTCCTCAATCCTGAGTTTATACCCCCTTCGTTGCTGATTTTCCAACCACAGGGAATAATCTTTCACCATTTATCCTGTCAAAACCTTTCAAGACGTGATGTGCACGACAAATTCATTTAACACATGCTTATGAATACAAGGGCCAAATTATATTTTCACATACTTTTCCCTCATGCTTTAATCTCCAAGGTGCTCGGTTAATAATGTTGCTCCTTTTGCAACACTGTGCAATTGTCTACGCAATTAAACCAGGAAGATATTTACCTTATTTTTACAGTAGTCGCATAAATCATTGATTCCGATGAAGACAGTCAGCAATTTCCAGTCCTCTGCAAAGTTGATCCCCTGCATTTTGACAAATATACAATATTAAATCTTCACACAATGTTTTAAGGCCTAATGGGCATGAAGAGGAAAAGTTGCTTTACACTGAAGATAGGACCACGATAGATTAATTGGTGATTTATCTCCATTCTGCGTGCAACATGTTGTCAGGACAGATTGGCTTCAGTGTTTATTACATAATAATAATCTCTGAACTCTAACTCAAAGTATGAAGAATCAGAGGTGGTTTTGACAATGATGAGGTGCTGTATCACTCATTATTTAAATATTGTTCATTTTTAATTTGAACGAGTTGGTGAAAAAACAGTGCCGTGTGGCATTCGCTCTCAGAACCAAATGACACGTTTTTTTTCAATTTTCCCTCGCGCAAACCGCACAAATATTGATTAACAACTATTTAAACCAGGGTCGTGTCTGTGCCTGTTCAGGTGGATGTTAAAGATCCGGCGATGCTGTTCGAAACAGAGAAGGGAGTTTCTCCCAATGTCCTGTCCAATAATCTTCCAGATTAAAAAAAAACTGTGGTGATTCCACTTCAAGGCTGTTTTGGGGACTTTGCTGCACGTTGCTCTATCAAATGCTTGGATTATCATTATTATTAACATATTTGTTCTTTTTACGCGAGAGCAATTGACAATGACCCAAAAGAAATGACAAGAAATGACAAGCATTACGGCATTATTTAAACTGCTGAAAAATGGCAACTCTTTGCTTTCCTTTAGACACAAACATCCTGCCGGGTTACTTACGGGAAATGCTTTCATAATGTCAACCAGCCGTCTTGCTTGCTGAGGCATTTGGCTGGAGAAAGGGGGATGAAAGACATAGAACATCATCGACAGCAAAAGGTATAAAGATTCTCGATGATAAACTCAGATTTCACTAGTACAGAGAGGAGAAATAATAAGGTATAGGTGCCCCAAGATACAGTGGGAGGACATCTCAAAGCACTCAACACAGTTGGCTGGCCACCTGAGCTGGGTGCGGGAGATAAGAAGGGTGGGGAGAGGAGTAATACAATATAAAATTATATTTGTATAATGCCTTTCACATCGAGAGGACTTCCCAAGGCGCTGATTAGATGATGGAAAGCGCAGTGAAAGAGGTTGGCCTTGAGACAAACCTTGATTGGGGGTAGGAAGGAAGGAAGGAAGGAAGGAAGGAAGGGAGGAAGGAAGGAAGGAAGGAAGGAACAAGTTGGAGGGATTCCAGGATGGAGTTCCAGAGAGCGAGTAGAGATCTCGTGTTACTCACAATGTGTTGGCTCCCGTCACTGCAAAGTTAAACCCCGTCTGGTCCAGCGTGGGGGAGATTTGAAGGTAAGTTTTGGACTTGGAGTAGCCGGTGATGTTGGGGTTGAAGAGCTTGAGAATATCTAAAAACAGATGACATTTTCACTAAGCTTCTCTCACTCTTTCCCTCTCGATAATAATAATTGTTGCATTTGATACAGTGCCTTATCATGTCATTGAGACGTCTCAAAGCGCTTCACAGGATATACTGTGAAGTGTGGTGACTGTGTATTTTATGGGCGATTGTCTGTGTTGAAATGAGACACGTGACAAAAGCACCCCCACCCCCACCCCCTTCTGACTCTTTATTTACAGATCTCAGTCTCGCGCCCCCTCAAGGGTCAGGTTCGACAACCGTGATGGCAGAGCTGCACAAAGTCCTTTTCCTCACACTTACTTGGAAGAGTAATAACCTCGTGGAAAGTCCCGTAGCCACCGATACTACAGACGAAAATCAAAACGGTTAAAAAAAGAGATAAAACGTAGAAATTGTTTCACATCTCACGGCCGACAGTCGGAATTGTAGGAATGCACAAAAACTGAAGTGAGGAGCTTGGCCCACGCTCCACTTAACTTACCTCCAAGAAACGTGTCGATATTCGATTGCCAACTGCAGTACATTTGTAGCGTTCGCACCAATTGCCGTCTGTAGGAAAGAAAGGAGTTCTCAGCCAAAGAACCTGGATTTGTTTTTCAAAAAGAAAACTTCTGGCCTCACGGTTCCAGTGAGGCCCCGAAACTCTTGCTCTCTACCCCTCGATCCCTCTGCCTTGCCCCCTTCCTCGCCCATCCTCACCTCGTATCTGAAGACCTTCCTTTTTGACCGGGTCTACGGTATACCTCCCGCCTCTCTCCTGCTCAGCGTCACCCTCCGCCGATGTTAAACGCTCTGAGACGCTACCCCGCGCGCATGAAGGGCACTGTGTAAATACAAGTTGTTGTTGTTGAGCTCCCGGCTCAGCCGGTAACAACCGCCTGGAAACTATAGCACTAAACGCTGCTGACACATTTTCCTGACTGGGCTTTTAATAACGCGGTTACACACTTATAGTCAAACTGTTTCCAGAGAGGGCAACTTACTGTCATAGAATCTCCCAGCGCTGCGACGATTTTAATATCTGCTGGTTTTAGAGTGTGAACTAGACGAGGAAAGCAAACAGAATCATCGTGTTCAGTGGTTTTGACCAGGATAAATGTAGTTTATTACAATAGCAGTCTTAATTCTTTGGGGTTGACTTGAGTGCTTTACTCTCTGCTCTTAACTTGCGCTGTCCTTCACTGTGAGCCAAGGCAGTGAATGCTGACGGGCAATTACACTGTAGGGGATGTTGTGGCTGAACCTCCTCCTGTCCTCAGCCAAAGTCAAGACAGTTTCCAATGGATGAGAGGGTGGAGGGAGGGTTTGGGTGGTCACTTGATAGTAATCAGGAGCAGGGAGAAACATCAGGCAAGTTTCCTTACTCCACGCACCTCGGTTTATCTTGCAGTAAGTAGGAACCTGGTTTTTAGGCAATTGGTGGCTCCCTCCCTCGCTTCCTTCAAGGCACGCCTCAAGACCATCCTCTTCGACTGTGCCTTCGGCCACCCTCCTACCACCACCCTCCTTGCACATCCCCTTCCCAACCCCCCACCCCGCTCAGGGCCTAATCCCTGACTGTCCAACACCTTGGGACGTCCTCCCAACATGAAAGGCGCTTTACAAATGTAATTTTGTGTTGCATTGCTTTTCCGGGGGTAATAATCCCTTCAAAATAAATAAACAAATAATAAGCGTCCGGTCTGTTGCGTCCTGTAACAGGATAAAAATGATTGCGCCCTTCTTTACGTCACGGGGAATGTTTTGTTGAGATAAATGTAAGTATCATTTCCACCTATCAATAAATATATATCTTGTTTGGAAAAAAGATACTCAGCCCGGTCTGGGATTGAAGCTGGGAATTTCCGGCCTAATGTTTACGTCCCGGATTGACGGCTTAAACCGACCGAGCCATCGGGGAACCAAAATCAGAGCCACGATTTGATTTCACGATTGATTTGAATTGCGTGGGTGAGGCTGATCGAACACACGCTCGCGTACGTATCAGGCTTGTTTACCTGAGGTGGGCACGGTGTCTGAAGGCGTCATATCAGGGCAAACGAAGGAGGAGTTTTCAGCGGTCTGCTTCTCAATCACGTTTTCGTGAAAATCCTTGGGAGGGAGAGGCCGTTACCATGTTTTTGTCGTTCAAATCGTTTGAATGATTCACAGAAATGCGATGTATGCACTCAAGCAAATCGTGTCCTTAACCTGAATTTCCGACAGACAGATACTTGGTTGCGTCGAGGTATTAAAGACCTGCCACAATCCAATAAACTGGTGGAACCGAGGTCTCGTCAGCCTGCTCAGGATGATAAAGGTCTCGTGGCACTGGTTAAAAAGCGATGGGAGTGTCTCTCTCCTGAATAACCAAATCCCTCAGACTAATAAATGTGGTCGCTCGCTCTGTGACGGCTTGTGGGACGCCACTGTGCGCAAACGGCTGCCGCGTTTCATCCTCAAAGTACAGTCAAAGCACTTTGCAGTATATCTTTGCTCAGCGCTTTGAGACGTTTTTTCAACGACACGATAAGCCGCTACGTCAAATGCAAGGATTAATATTATTGTTATTATTATTTTTATAAACGATATTGTTAAAAAAACACAACGTTGAGCATTGGAACGCCACAAAGGCCACAGGATATATAAAGTGCTCAATGATGTGGGGAGAGGGAGGGGGAGATGATTCAGCATTAATACGTGAGAGTGTTTAAATTCTGTACACCACCACATTATCAGAGCAGATACTTACCCTGGTTCCGTACTGTGAAACGTCATCTTTGATCCCATCCGCATCATGTTCCCACCAGCGGGAGCCTGCGGGTCAAATCAGGCATCGAGAGGTTGTTTTTTTGTAAAAAAAAGCAACTGGGGAAAGATGTTGAAAAGGGTCCGAATTCTTGAAGGTAACGTTCCCGAGGGACTCACCTTGTGCGTGTGCACTGACCAGGGCACAAATGGAGAGAAACAGTGCTGGGTTTTCCATCGCTCACATGTCAATGAAAGGCAGCAGGTCAGCAGTTGCCTAAAGCCCCTGTGGAACAGAGAAGCTGAGAGACGCAGCGGAGATTATTGTGCTGCAAAGTCAGATTGCTCACTGTCCACCGAGGCTCTCCCCGGGGAAATGCCATTCATCTTGAAGCGAGCCAGATTAATGCCAAGATCAGATACATCGAGCACATTTTTATATGAAAAAAAATAATCCAGATAACAATCTGCTGACTGTGGAGTGGAGGTGTCGCAGTTATTTGACGAAGTGAACACTGTTTTAACCATTGAAGTGCTGAATTTCCTTCCGAGGCTTTCAATTTGTAGAATTCTTCACATTGTACACGATATATTTGAAAACTAGGAGTGAGTGCAGGGCAGTCATGTCTCTGTGTGTGAGTCTGTGAGTGTGTGTGTGTCTGTGTGTGTGTGTCTGTGTGTGTGTGTCTGTGTGTGTGTCTGTGTGTGTGGGGGGGTTGGGGGTGGGATTGGGAGTGGGAATGAGGGAAAGACAGCATGATAGAAATGTGCGTGAATGGAGACGTTGAGAAAAGTCATTTGAACTCTGATTAAATTACTGCTGTGTAGTCAGTCACCCACTGTGTAGTTTGTGGTATTAGATTACTTTCAATACTGCAAAGTGCACGGAGAGGTTCTATTCAGTTATTGTTCTGTTTTTTCTGCTGACCATTGGGATTTAGTTCAGATTCACACACACAGTGCACTCACTCCATATCGATGACACATAATAACCAGCACCCAAAGGCTTCCTCAACAAACTGTGCTCAACACGTGGATAATTACTCTTGCCTTCGAGATGCACTTTGCAAAAAGAATACTTTGCATTTGTACTTGAATCCTGATATCCTCTATGGATATTTGTTGTCGAGAGGACGTCTCGAAGCACTTGACAGGAAGAATCGTACTCCAAAGAACAGTGACTTCTGCAGGATTTTGCAGGTGAACATGGAGGGCAATTTTGTTTGCACACAGCAATGTCCTGCAAACAGTCATGGAGTGAATGTCACCAATTTGATCGGGAGAATTGTTGGCTTAGGATATAGGGAGAAACACTCTGCTCTTTTCAAATAGTGCCATGGGAACTTTTAACGTCCCAAATCTTTTTTTTTGGGGTAAGAACAATCTTTTCGAACTCGTTTACTGCTCATCGGGAATTCTCTTCCAAGAAAACACCTGCCTCCGTTTCACAAAGACCCATCTCTCCCTCTGCCTTTGGCTCACATGAAACTCCACCCGCCCTTGTGTTCCTTCTCCACATTTACGTTGTTACGCGGCATAATTTTACGTGTAAATCGTCGCACAAAACGCACGTTGCTGCGATAAAGCGACGTGCAGTTGACAACAAGAAGAAGATTGCATTTATTGAGCGCCTTTCACGTCGGGAGGACGTCCCAAGGCACTGTACAGTTGGGTTGGGACCCGAGCATTGGGGGGAAATGGTCAGGGTGAGGGGAGGGAATGGAGGGAGCGAGGAGTGGGTAGAGAGTCGAGAGCGGAGCTGAAGGCTGAAGGTCAAAGAGAAAGGTCTTGAGACCGGCCTTGAAGGAGGAAAGTGAGGAAGCGGCGAAGGCACTGGGGATGGAGTTCCAGAGCCTCGGGGCTGAGAGGCTGAAGGCCCGACCACCGATGGTAGGGCGATTGGGGCGGGGGATGTGGAGCAGACCGGAGCCAGAGGAACGGAGGGTACGGAGGGGGTACGTGGGGGGATAGTAGGTCGGAGAGGTAGGAGGGAGCGAGGCCATGAATGGCCTTGTAGGTGAGGATGAGGATCTTGAATTCGATCCTCTGGGGGATGGGGAGCCATTGGAGGCGAGCGAGGGCGAGGGTGAGGGTGGGAGTGAGTGTGAGGGCGAGGGTGGGAGTGATGTGGTCGCGGTGTCTGGTGCGGGACAGTACACGAGCTGCAGAGTTCTGAATGACCTGCAGTGTGGAGGGAGGGCCGGGAAGGCCGACGAGGAGAGAGTTCCCATAGTCCAGCCTTGAGGTGATAAAGGTGTGGACCAGAGTTTCAGCCGCGTGAGGGGTGAGGGAGTGCCGCAGTCTCTAGCGATGTTCCGGAGGTGATGGAAGGCGGTGCCAGTTATGGTGCGGATATGAGGAAGAAAGGAGAGCTCAGGGTCAAACAGAACCCCGAGGTCCCTGACCGGCTTCGAGAGGTGGAGAGTGCGGCCTTGGATGCTGATGCTGACAAGTGAGCAAAACTTTTAAGTGCACAAACATGCAGGGGTTACGCCATGTGCACAGCCCAAACTCACTTAGGTTGTCAGATGCTGTTCTTTTAAGCAGCGTCAATGCAAAAGACAAAATCCTCCATTTTTGCGAGGGAGTACACTTTCCACGCCAACATTTCATCCATTTATTCTATTCAAGTTACTTTGGAATTGGGACTTCTTGCACTTCAAGCACTCTCTGAAGCGTCACGTGTGACACTCACTTTTAATAGAACATTTCCGTCAAACTTAAACCTTTTAAATCATACACATAAACTACGGTTGGATCCACTTATGTGCAAACATCGCTGAAAAGTACTAAGCGCAGTTGTGCAGACTCAACACATTCGAATGTCATTTTACTGTGGATTGAAATGTAAATCATAAAGATCTGCAGGAATTCCTTCCCCCCCGCCCCCACCTCACTATACATTGACATGGTTTCAACTTGAAATATTTCTACCAGGTTAGGAACATTTCACAGAATGCAGCATTCTCTGAATAAGCATAAAAATCAAAATGCTGAAAGTACTGAATGTCCGTGAAACGCACAACAGTGTAGAACAATGGCGGAGGGGACAATGGGCGGATTAAAGCGCGTCGCATGGCAGGAATCCAACTGAGGGATCCATGTTGACACCAGAAACTTGATATAAAGCTTGACCACTTTCTGTACGTCATCTGAACTTCCACCGTGTCATGGGTTTAATTCCTCGCGTTCTCGTCTCTGGTCGTAGGTTCAATCCCCGCCTCAGACGTTTGATGTCCTAGTCTACGATGGGACACCCGTGCTGTGCTGGATGCGTTCCATCCCGTAAGATGTTAAACCGGGGTCCCATTTGCGTATTGTTTTTTGAATGGACGTTAAAAGATCTTACAGTACTATTCGAAAACGTGAGTTTTTCTCTCTCTCTCTCTGTGTGTCTTGGGCAACAATCTCTCAGATGGAATCCATAAAAGAAATGAAGACAACCACGTCTGCGCTCTTCCAATACATTCACGATAAACTAACATTTTTTTTATTCACTTGCTTTAAAAACGTTTCAAACGTGAAATTGTTCAATACGTCCAACAGAGATTTTCCTTGCCAGTCGCGCACAAAATGCCAACAGAAAACACGGCCCCGGACTTTCACATGGATTTACGTGATTGTACAACAGAGCTTTATTTAAAGTACGAGGAGATGCAGATCAGGAATCCAGACAAGGGGACAAATAAATACACAAAAGACTAAAACGATAACGACCCATTGTGTAAAATCAAATTACCAGAGTCGAATGGCCAGGAAATACGTAAAATGAACGCTTGAAAAGTTCAAAAGCAGCAGATTAAAATCGGATAGGCTCAGAAAGTTGCATAATAAGGAACTATATTCTAGTTTTTTCAATAAACTTCCAAGGTATTTTGCCGAACCTTTCCACAGAAGATTAACGGGTGTTAAATAGTTCACGATAGCCGGATATGGTCTTTTGGTCTATGGAACAAATAGGTAAATATCTCTCATTGCATACTTTCCAAGATTCTTTTTCTCCAATGATAATAATCTTTACATTTGATACAGAGCTTTATCATGTCTGAGACGTCTCAAAGTGTTTCACAGGAGATGCTGTAAAGTGAATTGACTGTATACTTTATTGGCGAATCACAGCAGCCATTCGTGCACAGCAGCGTTCCACAAAGTCATGGTTTGAGTGACCAAATGATTATTAACAAGCGATGTATCTGAAAAAACACACACCAGACTCTCTTTCACGCGTACCATCTTTAGGAACACAAAAAGCAGATTACAAAGGAGATGTTTTATATGGGTCGACCATTAGTGAGAGATGTGCAATTCTCCAAAGGCTATGGTTTGACTAGTGCATTACTGAAACAAAATCCACAAATCAGGGTCTACAGCTGATGCTGGACACTTTATTAAAACTTTTTAAAGCGCATAATATACAGCTTGCAGCTAATAATTAGGTTGAATTTTCAATTCACAAAAGATTTACCATATAAAACAGTCTGTACACCTTATTAACTTCTTTTTTGAAACAATTATTTTACACCACATCAGCTTTTACTTATTGGTTTATAATACATTACATTTACAATACGCGATCCGATTTGATTACAATTGCCAGTTGAGACACATTACACCTACACCTCCCAAAAAGGAACTAAAGCAGCAAACACAAACTACTGTAACCCAAAACCCACGATCTTTACATTAAAAAAAATCAAAATGCCGTTTGCTATGGAGCAGGATTACCACCCGAATTCCTTGGACATTTGATCATGGGTTTGGTTCCTTAAATTGAGGAAAAACATTTAATGCAGTAGCTCTTCCATTGCCAACTACGCAATTCTCTCCATTTCGTTAGAAAAGAACAAGGTAGCCAGTCGTGCGTGGCTTTAACGTAGTCTATATGTCTTTAACAGGGGTTTTCTCTGTAGCATTTGTAAAACACCTACACCATCTTTCAAGCACAGCATTATTATACCACAAATTAGATGTACTTATGAACCCAGTGGAGCAAGACGACATACACACTGATGTGGTTTTTCCAGTCAGAAATACAACAACTTAAAACGTCTGGCGGCTGCTCGTGTGGTAACCAACATCGTGTCAGGGCAAACTGACTGCCCGCCTTTTCAGCTGTTGGTTCTCTGCATTAACCAGGTTTAAAAGTAGCCCGCCGAGCAAAACAACTCAATTACACTTCAAAACACTCCAAATAATAATAATAATCCTTGCATTTGATACAGCGCCATATCACAGCTCCGAGACGTCTCAAAGCGCTTCACAGAATATACCGTAAAGTGAATTGACCGTATATTTTGTGACCCTAAAAAGAAAAAGCCTGGTTCTTTCAAAAACTATTTTTTTCATGATTTGGGGTTAGACCCCCTGGACAGGACAATAAGTTTTATCTTTTAAATTGTTCTATTGATCAAATATTGCGAAGGCAAAACATACTCGGTTGCCAAAAATGTGCGTCGGTCCAACTGGAAATCTGAAGCTACAGCGACAGGGTCGACTTGTCTTGTGTAAGCCAAGTGTAAGCATAAATGTTTTCCGTGCCATGTGGAAATGCATGTGAAAAGGAGACTTCTTTAATGGTGCAATTTGCGATCTCACTAAGCCATCTCACTGATTAATTCCCTCTTTGCACACTTAACACATAATACATCCGTGTTTACATGGCTCAGGATGGGCCACATTAAAGCGATTTTTATTTTGTAACTCATTTTCCATTCACGCACAATTTTTCCCTAAAGTGGCAATGTAAGTTCATCCTGAGATAGGTCACTAGCTTCACTGTATTCCTTTAATGGCTTTTTCAGTAGCAAAAAAAAATGGAAACACATCAAGTAATATTACACGCCGTTATCAAAGGAACATCAGTTCAAAAGCTGAGTCAGATGTTTGGCAAATGTAACAGAGGACACAGTTCTTCACAGAAGAGCAGAACAAATAGCAAAGACATACTGGACAACTACATTGCCCCTTTGAAGTGGCTGTGCAATGTACTCTTGTAGTGGCACTTCTAGATGAAATCAAACCCTGTTGAAGGATTCAGTAGTTTGTTGAAACTCATAATTTAAATTACATAAATCTTAACATTATATTGCAGAAATGAACACAACTAAAAGCTCAAAACTGGCAGCAAAAATAAAGTTGTGTGTGTGTGTGTGTGTGTTTGTGTACGTGTGGGGAATCAGGTGAATTCAAGTGACTAAAGTAAGGTGTTTAGTAAGTAAGACCAAAGCATTTAGTAGGCTTCTTTTATCCACTCTTTCAATGTTCATCATAACTAGGAAAGTCTTAGTAAACCCAAAATAAGTTTCGTATATTTAAAAATAGTTGCAATTTGACTCAAAAGTGTTCAAATGACTGATAAGTCTTAATCTGTCGCTGCAGGAGTTGGTATTGAACAAACAAAAAAAAACCTGCTGTGCCTAGAACTTGTTTTTTTTTTGCTTTTTTTAAAAAAATGAAAGAAAACGTTAGCTATTGCTGCTCGTGTTGGGGTTCTGCCCTCTGAGCGCCTGCTGGTCGCAACTCAGGCTGTTGCTGTCTTTGTCTGTAAGCGATTACAGTTCCCAAGAGTAAAGCCAGTACAGTCATGAGGTAAAGGTCCCACTCAGGTCCCAGTAACTGGTCCAAGTCAACCTGCGTCCATATCTCCCGGACCTGAAACGAGAGATCAATGAGAGTTTCAATTGCGCTGACAGGAATCCAAGATTTTTGGGGGGAGGGTCAACTGGAAAGAAAATAGATCAATAATAGGATTATTATGGAAACGTCAAGAATTATATACTCCTTACTGCTTTGAGTTATTGCAAGACCGTTTGCTTTGATCACCAAGTGGGACCACAGATGCGCAGTGAAGAAATGCTTCAACAAAGAGAAAATTAGTTGAGATGGAGACCATTTCTCTCTTTAGGGAAGTTTGCTTGGGGATAAATAAATATAAATATAAATAAATGGCTTTGTTGCAATGAACAAACTTAAAAATATAAATGTAATTTGTCGTTGTTAGGAAGGTTGGAGCAACGAGTGGACTGGAACACTAGAAACCGATCTTATATTTGAAAATAGTGGCAAGTTGACTGAAAAGCGCACTGAAGTGTTTTTTTTTTTAAAAGTTTTTCAAACTGCTTTTCAACAAGACAAGGAGTTTTAACAAGACCGAATGATATTCGACAGACATACCTACAAGAAGTTCAGAGTTTACAATAAGCGGGGAATAAGGGGACGACGAAATTTATTCCAAAGAGATAATAACTGCTGACTTACTTTGTTCTCCTTCAGATATTCCAGCGCGTACATTAGCCCCAGTTTACACAGTGCCAGGAACACAGGGACCTGAGCATCGGGACTTGTCTCTGCAGCCATGTCATAGAAACGCTTTGCAAGATAGATGTCCTTTGAGGAAACATGGTCACATGTCAGCTATACAGCGGAAATCACAATTTCCTACCTTGTAAACACAATCAGCGTTCACTTATACAATTCTAACTTACATGGTTAGGAGCTGCTTCTCACCGCGTAAGATTCTTTCCCACTCGCGAAGTAGAATTACACCATGAGAACCGGCTGCCGTACCTACAAAGCAACATTCCTTGTTGTCCGTCTGCATTGCTGCAGAGTAAGGACCTTCCCTGAAGGGTGTTGTGAACTATGTATGAAAGGTCTAACTGTACGAAGATTAATAAATTCTCAGTCTCGGAGAGGAAGTCGAATGCAGCAAGCATTTTCACATCAGGTCGAGAAGCAGATTTTATAAGCAATTACTACTCGTCTCTGTAGCAACTCTCAACTGCACTATGTCATAGGGACAGGACTAGGCCATTCAGCTCCTTGAGCCTGTTCCACCATTCTATAAGATCATGGCTGATCTGCACCTCAAGTCCAATTACCCGCCCTCACCCCGTATCCCTTGATCCCCTGACCTGACACCTATCTATCCACCTCAGTCTTGCAGATGTGATTGTCCAGCTCGCAGTGAGGCAAGAACATGAACAGGGAAATGAATGAGTTAATTAAAGATTAGTGACAACACAGTACTGACTCCACGCGATCGGAACATCAGACCTCCCCCTCCCCCCACCCCCATTAAACAGGCTCCTACCTGTTTAATTCCCAGCCCCTTCTCATGCATGTACCCCAGGTTAAACATGGCCTGGGCACTATGCTGCTGTTCAGAGGCCAATCGGTAGTGGATCACTGCTGTTTCATAATCAACATCCGTGCCATAGCCATAGAAATGGTAGTCTCCCAGCTTGATTCTTGCAACTGTATACCCTAAAACAAGACCAACGATTGCACACAAGTTAGTGAAAGTTATTAACAGCATCCCGTCTCCAACAGCACTTTGAGACGTCTCGAAGACGTGATAAGGCGCTATCAAATGCAAGGATTATTATTATTATTAAGATCAACCTCTGCAAAACACACAGGCAAGCCCCAATATAACAAAGTCATCGGGGCCCCAATATCTAAAGGGGGCGCATATTACAATGAAGCAGAAAAACAGTGACAGAGTTCCAGGTCAATATAGGATTAGGTTAAAGACCTCACTGTTTGGAACTGGAATTGTCAACGTGCAACAAGTTAATCTGAAGCAGTTTATGTTCAACCTGATTCCCATTTCATTTCAGCAGCTGATCTGGAAACCTTACCTTGTGCTGCGGCTCGATTCCAATGCAGCAATGCTCGGGGATAGGTCTCATTCTCACCAAAGATTTTAGCTTCTCCTGCAGAAAAATGAGAAAGTCAATGAAAAGGTTTGAAAACAGAGTTAACTTGCAACAAACTTTAATGGGGTTCATCTTCAAAAAAAAAAAATAATTTGGTCACTCAATCCACGACTGTTTGTGGGACGCACCTTTCATTTCATTAATGATTTGAGAAAGGTGGCATGTTTGGGGCTAACCTAGATTCCTTTAAAAACAGCTATTTCAAGTAGTTCAAGAGCTATACGTTGCGCTCACCTTTCCAGGACGCATTAGCAGGGAGGTCATCGATCTAGCCTCTAGGAATACAATTGACTACGGTTTTTACAGCAAAGACTAGACAAGAACTATTACATAATTGCCCACAAAGTACAATCAATTCACTTTACGGTGTATCCTGTGAAGCGCTTTAGAGAGATCTTGAAGATGCGATGAGGCGCTGTATCAAATGCAAGGATTATTATTGTTATATTCTGCAAGACCTCTTAGTTCAAAAACTGAATAGGCCACAAAAGAGGTTTGCAAGTGTAGGAAGTTCAGAAATGTGCTGATCATTTTCGATCTAAACAGTGTCAGGCCCGGCTTTTGTCCTCACTTTGATCCAGAATGAATGCAGCATTGCTCTGAGCCACCTCATAGCCTTGCTCAGCCAGTATAAAGTACTGCACCAGCGCCGAATCCGTGTCTCCCTCTTTGTAGCTGCCGTAGGCAGACATCAGTCTCTCTGACCATCGGCCTCGCTCACAGACGTTTTTAAATAGCTGCACAAGTGGGAGAGTTTAGAGAAAAGAGGTTAGGAGAATGGAATTCAATTAATTACAGCCAACTGCGTGCGATGTGATCAAACGATAAGAGCTTTTAAAGAGGAAGGGTATTGTGCTGAATAAATGCATTAAATATGACTGCCTGAAGACAAGCATCTTTTGTGTACCTCACTTCTCTCTGCTTACTTTGTATTCGAACTGCTGGCCTGAGGGAGCTGGGGGGCTAAGATGTATATAACGACAACTACAACTTGAATTTATACAGAGCCGCTTCGTGCAGGGGAGCGTCTCAGAGCGCTAAATAAACTGTAAAGGCAGTATAAACTGACAGTCAGCACTCCCCGAGTTCTCGTCTGATGAGGATAATTATTCCCAACGTGCTTTTTTTTACAAAAAAATGTTATGGAAGAGATTGGAAATGCACCCAAACAATGAACCGTAGCAGCAGAAATTCAACGGTTCATAAACCAAAGTGAATGCGTTCAGAACCAGAGAACAGAAAGGTTCAACAATAATGATGTACCACAGTCTGCATAATGTTACTGTGGTTCAACTCTTTGAAACCAACAGAGGAATTGGTTTATTCCTCCACCTTTAAGGCCATCCATGGCCTCGCCCCCTCCTGCCTCTCTGACCTGCTGTCTCCCTACCAACCTGCCCGCTCCCTCCATTCAGCGGACTCCGGCTGCTCCATGTCTCCCGCCCGACCATCACTGGCCGGGCTTTCAGCCTCTCTGCCCCCACACTCTGGAACTCCATCCCACGGTCCCTTCGCCTCGCTTCCTCCCTCACCTCCTTCAAGGCCGGTCTCAAGACCCTTCTCTTTGACCCTGCCTTTGGTCTCCCTCCCATCTCTCTGCCTTCCCTTATCACCCCTCCCCCATGCTCAGGCCCCGACACCTGACTGTTCGCGCTTTGGGATGTCCTCCCAACGTGAAAGGCGCTCTATAAATGTAGTTTTGTTGTTGTTGTTGAATGTAAACGTAGAAGATCTCCAAACCGAACAGTAAAGGAGAATCATCTTGTACACAACTTTTACAAGCATGTAATCAGATTCCATTCGGCTTTTTGAAAAAATATATTGCGTGTAAAAGACTTTGATCCCCAACAAGAACGGAGAATGTTTGGGCACTCAACTTAGATATAACGCTCACCTCAACAGCTGTGTGGCAGGATCGAATTACACCGGTTCCTGTTGCGTGCATTTGAGCCAGGTTATAGAAGGCCAGGATGTGCCCAGCTTGTGAGGCAAGGTTGAAATATTTCAAGGCTTGCTTGTAGTCTCTCTTCACACCTATACCATCTGGAACACAACACGTACAAGTTCACAAAACACAGAAAGAGCAACAAATTTTAAGCTTTCAAAAGCAGCTGTTTATAAAAAAGGGGCCGGAAGCATTTTAGAGGACGGATTTTTCTTACACTGCCCTTTTAATGTTTTACTGATGATGCGACCACATCACTCCCACCCTCGCTCACCTCCACTGGCTCCCCATCCCCCAGAGGATCGAATTCAAGCTCCTCATCCTCACCGACACGGCCATTCACGGCCTCGCTCCCTCCTATCTCTCCGACCTACTATCCCCCCACTTACCTGCCCATACCCTCCGTTCCTCTGGCTCCGGTCTGCTCCACATCCCCCGCCCCAACCGCCCTACCATCGGTGGTCGGGCCTTCAGCCTCTCAGCCCCGAGGCTCTGGAACTCCATCCCCAGTGCCTTCGCCGCTTCCTCCCTTTCCTCCTTCAAGACCTTTCCCTTCGACCAAGCCTTCAGCTCCCCTCTCGACTCTCTACCCCCTCCTCGCTCCCTCCCTTCCCTGCCCTCACCCTGACCATTTCCCCCCAATGCTCGGGTCCCGACCCAACTGTTCAGCGCCTTGGGACGTCCTCCCGACGTGAAAGGCGCTCTATAAATGAAATCTTATTGTTACAACATGTATCAGTTAAACTTTCTTATATTCTAAGAAGCCTCTCCAGGACTTTAGTCATTCATATGATAATAATAATAATAATCTTTACATTTGATATAGCGCCTTATCACATAATTGAGACATCTCAAAGAATTCCACAGAATGTACTATGAAATGAATGGACTAGATTCTGTGGGTGAAATTCACATATTAAATAAATGCTCTGTGGTTGAATAAATGATTTGCACTTTGAGAAGTTGGATTCTTTGAAAGGCAGAACAAGTTGCTTTCAATGATCATAGAATCATACAGCACAGGAGGTCATTCGGCCCATCGTGTCTGTGCTGCTCTTTGAAAAGAGCTTCCAAATCAACCCCACTCCCCCGCTCTCTCCCCATAGCCCTGATCAACCCCACTCCCCCCCCATAGCCCTGATCAACCCCACTCCCCCACTCTCTCCCCATAGCCCTCATCAACCCCACTCCCCCGCTCTCTCCCCATAGCCCTGATTAACCCCACTCCCCCCCCATAGCCCTGATCAACCCCACTCCCCCGCTCTCTCCCCATAGCCCTGATTAACCCCACTCCCCCCCATAGCCCTGATCAACCCCCTCACCCCCACTCCCCGCGCTCTCTCCCCATAGCCCTGATTAACCCCACTCCCCCCCATAGCCCTCATCAACCCCACTCCCCCGCTCTCTCCCCATAGCCCTGATTAACCCCACTCCCCCCCATAGCCCTGATCAACCCCACTCCCCCGCTCTCTCCCCATAGCCCTCATCAACCCCACTCCCCCGCTCTCTCCCCATAGCTCTGCAAACTTGTCCTCCCCAAATAATTATCTACTTCTCTTTTAAGAGATCTTATTGAATCGGCTTCCACCAGCCTTTAGATAATGCATTCCAGATCCCAACAACTTGCTGCGTGAAACAATTTCTCCTCACCTCCCGTTTCTTTTAACAATTATTTTAAATCGGTGCCCTGGAGTTACCGACCCACCCGCCAGTGGAAATAGTTTCTCTGTTGTCATTATCAATTATCTGAAAGAGTCTTGAATAAGTTGACTTGGAAAGCAGTGAGCAAAATTGAGGATCATAACTCACCAACATGCTTTCAATCAGAAAAGACATCCACCACATAATGACCCAACACAGAGCACATTACGCCTGCACAGTTCCTAACATGAAGATAAAGATACCACTAATGTGGCCGATTCTATAGCAGAAAACATTTATAAGAGTGAGCCACAGTTTGAGAAGATTATATAGTTTTTATGGAAAATTTGCATTAAACACTGTGCTGTGATTTTCACCCAGTGAATTCTCCTCATACACGTGAAAGCTGAAAGACTGTATTTCCTTCTTCCCAATGCTTCATGAAGCCACTTTCCTAGAACTAAGAGCAAGTGTTGAACTTGAACAAGACCGACACCATAAACAAATTAATTACCTAAATGGAGATCACCCTTTTCTTACAAGGTAGAATACAATTAGAATTTCAGGCTTCGCTCATCCCTTGCTATCGAATTTCGTTAAGAAATACCCGTTCAATGACATGAATTAGTAAACTATGCCTTACTGTAATACATGGAGCCCAGTTGGAGCTGCCCATCCACCCAACCTTGTTCAGCAGCCTTTTGGAAATACTTCATGGCTAGTTCATAATTCTGTTGGAAAAGGGGAAAAAAATATTGTACACACACATATTTTAGTTATCTTCTACACAGACTGTAAACTAATATTAAACTGTGGACTAAAATTCTCATTTAATCCTTAGCCACAGAGACACAGATAAATTAAGACAACTCTAGTGAGATTGCTTTGACTTAATTAGTTGGCCCTCCAACATTCCTTATTGGTTTGAGATCCAACAATATATCAAAGTTGAGCCGGTCAAAGTTAAAATACAAACATACCAGTACATAGAGTCCCGCCACTGACTGACTACGAGGCTGGTTGGGGCTTTATGGACTCCAACTATTGTGTTATAATGAGGTGCTATTATGTCAATACTTTATGACCACCATACAGGAACTGGGAGGTAAAAGAAATGTCTGGCTGCCAAGGAAAGCTGAAATTCCCTAAACATGTCGACACTGGTCTCAAAAGAGTAGCCACAGATTATCCAGGTTGAAGCAGCCCAATCGTACCAACACTTATGCAATACAATTGCATGATACATACCACTGGAACTCCTTTGCCGTACAAGTAAGCCATCCCCAGGCCACTCTGTCCAACTGGATTACCCTAGGAATTGAAAATAAAAATCGTCCATCATCCAATGTTTTAAATCATGGCTATTCAGATGAAATCTGAAACAAAGCTGTAACAGGCGCTTTGCTTTCAAGAACCACAAGGTTACATTTCACAATACAAATCAGGGGGATGCAAGTTGTAAACGCCTGTGACCTTGCCGTTATCCATGATCCTCAGATCCCCGGAAAAATGTCCTGTGTACAGTACAAGAACTGTACTTAAACAAATACTACATAATCAATACTAATAAATGCATTGCCTGGAAAGTTGAGTATTTTTGGAGCAACATACTGGGTGGTATAGTGTGAAATGATTCAAATTAAGTCCTCTGCTCGCATAATTTTTTTTAAAAAGCCATTGTGAAACATACCAAATCTGCCGATTTCTTGAAATAATGAAGAGCCGTTTCATTGTTCTGGGTCACAGCATTACTACCCTCGGAGTACATCTGTTCACATAAAGTTAACAGTCAAGCTTTTTAAAAATAAATCCAGTTTTGATCCTATTACAGTCACAATCTGATCCTATCTTTACATGAAGCAGAATAATTGTCTCCAGTCATAATAATCCTTGCATTTGATATAGCGCCTTATCACGTCGTTGAGACGTTTCAAAGAGTTTTGCAGAATATTGTCCCTTCACCTCGCTCCCTTCCCTCCTTTAAAGGCACGTCCCAAGACCCTTCTCTTCATCCGCCCACTTGGCCACTCTCCTACCCTCCCTGACCCCAACCCCCAGCTCGGACCCAAATCCTTGACTATCCAGCACCTTGGGACGTCCTCCCGACGTGAAAGTCAAGGGCGCTGTGCAAATGTCATTTTGATTGTATTGTAAAGTGAATTGACGGTATCTTCTGAGCGAAAAGCGGCAGCCAATTCGCACAGCAGTGTCCCACAAACAGTCGTGTTTCATCCTACCTTGCCAAGGAATGCCATTGCGTGTGAGTTCCCAGTGTTTGCTGCTTGGCTGAAGTAGTCATAGGCTCGCTGAAAGTTTAAAATAAAACACACAAGAAATAAAACTTAGTAAAAACTTACAAATTACTTAAAAACAACAATGTTTTATACAGCTGAAGCAGATTTTTTGTGCAGGCTTTTTTTATGCTGTAACAAGGTTTTTTTCAAAAAAAATTGCCCCTTTGTTTCTCCGTGATACATGTCCACTCAAGCAACGCGAGAGCCTTCTCAATTAACATCAAGTGACACACACACACGATGACAACTGGTCTGCCTTCGATCCAGGGCCTCCCAATTGTTGCTACTTAAAAAGAACAACAATCTTTTATACAGCTGCAGCGGGTTTTTTGTAGGCCTGTAGCTTCTACAACAAATGCCACTACATATCATTCAGCAACACCTTCTATTGAGGGAGATTGATGGAAAATACAGCAGAAAACGTGCTCTAATGAAAGCACCGTGTATAAAAACACAATAATAATCCTTGCATCTGATATAGCGCCACATCAGGTCGTTGAGACACCTCAAAGCGCTTCACAGAATATATTGTGAAGTGGTTTGATTGTATTTTGTGGGCGAAACATGACATCAGGACCGCGTAAAAAAAACTCTACGTTTCGAGCAAACCTTAAAAAGGATTACCTGATAATTTTGTTCCACGCCTCGGCCTCCATGCAGATGTAGCTGGCCTAGTCCAACCTTTATTAGTGAAATAAATAAAAGGTGAAGCTTTGAATTTCTTTGTTCCATTGGTCTACTTGAAGGACTCTGCCATATTTGACGAGTTTTAACTTGCAAGAAACACAGAATTCTAATAGGGTGTAGCAACACTATGCAAATACACATTTTTATGCATGTCCTGATGTTGCTAAAGGGTTTGATGTCGAAAATCTACTTTCAGAAACGTCTTTCAAATAAGACATTAAACCGAAGTCCCATCTGTCTGTTCACGTGGATGTTACAGATCTCATATAATTGCCCTGGCTAACAATCCTCCAGATTAAACTGTTTATTCACTTCATGGCCATTTATGAACCCTCGCTCAGGCAAATTACTGTCACTTTCAATGACAAAAACTGACTACATTTGACAGTAATTGCCTACAAAGCACTTTGAGACACCACAATATGGAACATTGCACTATACATCAAGTTCTTCTGCAGATGCTAAAATCATTTATAATTTAGTTACCTCATAGATGCTTATTTGGTTCAAAGGCAGACTTAAATTTGACTTGTATAGCTCCTTGGGACGTCCTCCCGACGTGAAAGGCGCTATACAAATGTAATCTTGCTGTTGCTGTTGAAGAATTCATTACAAAAAATGATGGTTCAATACTCTACCTGTGCCTGGACATCGCCCTTTTCAGCCAGGAACTGATAGTATTGGATTAGGTCTTCCTCGAGCATGCCACTGCCAACACCAGAGTTCTCAGCTTCATCAAAAAGACGGATCCTCTGAATAACACTACCGCCAGTCAGAGTCACATCACTGGCAACTACGAAAAGACAGAAAACAATGCTTAAAAATCACATTTAACAACTCATTCCTTCAATAGCCGTGTATTTCGTTCATAAAATGCACAGTCAATTCCTTTATGGTATATTCTGTGAAGCACTTTGAGTTGGCTCAAAGATGTGATCAGGCGCTATATTAAATGCAAGGGTTATTATTATTATTATTATAACTAAACACAATGCGTCTGAAGGGCAAGCGGGTGAAATATCTTTTACTCCACAGCGATAGAATCTTCATTTACGCTCAGTGCCTGAGTAATGACTAACACGCTTTAAAGATGGAAATGGAAAAGAGTCTCATCATTGCAGATCTTTGCAATTTAATGAAAACAGATATAAACACGTCTATTAAAGTCTGGCCAGGCATCAGGACATGAAAACAGGAAGAGTGTTTGCACCCAGGATTGCAATCTTTGCAGTTGTCCATGATACTATAACAACAGAAGACAATCTTGAAACCGGGTTATTACTTACCATAATTTGCCACAAGTTTGTAGTGAGTCAGTGCTGATTCACAGCTCTGAGGGACGCCTATCCCAGCCCAATAGCGATATCCCTGAGGAATTAAAAATATATATTGCATTATTAGAAAAACAAATGCAAGGAAAACAAACAGGTTGCATTACATTATTATTAATACCATTGGAACACATTAAGAAAATCAGACGATTCCTTACTAAGATCATGTGTGACAGCAGGTTTCCGCCAAGTGCTCCAAAGGTGTAATACACAAGGGCCTAAGACCAAGGGGAAGAAGGCAGGTTTAATTATGCAGAATTATGCCATTTAAGATCCGAAAGAGAAGGGGGAAAAGGGGAAAAATAATACCTTTGCTTGACTTGAATGGACTCCTATTCCAGAAGCATAAAGAAATCCAAGGGCCTAAGACAAGACAAGAAGGAACAGTAGTGGGTAAAAGCTTTCTTGTGCTAGAGACTTCACAATATTGCAGTGTGAACTGAAGTATTTAAAGTACTTTGCAGAGAAAAACTCAAATGCTTCCATATTAATTTGAACATTTGCAGAACTAGTTTCATAATGCACTCACATTTCTACTTGCTTAATGGTTCCAAAACGTACATTACGCAACACTAGTGCTTCAATTCCCTTGCTACTCAAAAAGCAACCTACATAGTCTTTGTGGGATCCCATTGAAATTATATTCATTACGTCTCGTAACAGTAGCCTCTGTAGCAGCCCTCTAGCGGTAGTAAAAAATGAAATCTGAATCTGACAATGATCCTTTCTCGTATAATCGGACACTGCGGTTCACAGCAAACGCTGTGCATCACTGATAGCAATCACTGATGGCTTAGCAGGTAAAGGGAACTAACTGCAAGTTGCAGGAGAAAACAAAATATCAAAGTACCACATTCGAGTCAGCAGATCTCAATGAAACAGTGGTTACAACACAACAACTGGTCTCAGATATCTTAGGCCAGGGAGGGATTAAATCAGCCAGCGTTTCCCCTCCTGAACACCAACTGAAACGTGGACAGTAAACAAGAGAGCTTTCCAAGCTAACACGTGAAGAAGAATTGTCACGTAGACAAGGTGAGCATACCCCGGCTACCAATAATCACTTGGTAATTCGAACACTATTTTAGACATTGTGAAAAAAAATGCAAAGTCTTAAATGCAAACTGTTTTCAAAATAAATTAAAAAAAACTTTGTTTTAAATTTAAAAATGACTGACTGTCCAGCGCTTTGGGACGTCCTCCCGACGTGAAAGGCGCTCTATAAATGTAATTTTTTTGCTGTTGTTATTATACTTTCACCATCTGCGGCAAACGCGATCAATCAGAACATGCCGGATGCCCATGATTGGAAATAGGTATTGCTTGGAACCACTTTTTCCTCTGGGCTCACACTTGTCACTTATCAAGCTAAGATTCCTTGCCTTGTCAAAACATTTTGCCCGTTTGACTATTTTTTTTGTCAGGGAAAGGGACTGCCACGGAGATCTAAAGAACAAAAAGTGACTTTCCGAAAAAATCAGGTTCTCTATTCAGGAGGGAAGAAGGTGAAATATTTTATATGATGAAATATTTATATGATAAATAGTTTAATCATGAAAGAGTTAGTCTTAACAAGGCTACCTGGTAAGACTACCTCTTTCATGATTACTAACTGGAACAGAGATTCTACTGTGAAGCAACTCAAACCTTTAATATCTTTCAGGTTAGCACTATGAGAGAGAACATCTTGGATTATTCAGTCACACACAGCCCTGCGATTGATTCAGATAAACTCCCAAAGAAGCCAAGGAATAACTGTCACCCATCAGCGTTCAGAATCAAAACGTACTTTACATCTTCAAGAACGGGCCAAAGTCCAAGTTGTTAAATTGTCCTTTCAACGCTAACTGCCTTTGCAACTCGGTTTGGTCATAAGATATTTTTAGTTCATAAAGAACATCACGTACCCTTTGACTGAATAGAAGTGAGCCACACAACACTTCAAACCGAGCACTGGATAAGTGAAACACAAAATTCTACCCCAAGTTACAAATTAAGACCAACACCTTCAGTAACAGGAGACAATCATCTATAGGAGGTCTGCAGTACACTGGTTGTTACTGGTAAGTGATTATGCAGCTTGCATAAAAAGCACTATATCAAATGCAAGGATTATTTATTATTTTTAAAAATATGCTCAAAATCCACGGCATTAACATTCAGTTAAATGCCCGTTTATTTAAGGCAACAACTGTTCATGTCGGAAAGTCTTTGAAGAAACCATTTTATCCTCTATGACATGCTGAGAGGAGACTTACTGTTTGGCCTTTGGGAGACCCTTGTTCAGTGAGCTTCTCAAAGAGATCCTTAGCTGCCCCAACATTCAGATCCATGTAATCACCCAAGAGCATGGCAAAGGCAACTTTCTCTGTGGCCTTAATGCTTCCCATATCAGATGCTCTGAGAAGGATTTCGTATCCTCTAGTTCCAAAGAAAACAAAGATAAGAATAAAGCAAACCAAGCCAAGACCCCACATAACAGATATTGGGATGGGGGGGGGCAAAATTTGCATGATCTCCTGACAGATAGATCCCTTGATAGAAAATACAAGCCCTACAAAGAGAGCTCTTTCCAGTAAACACAAATAGTCCTCGTGGAGTCCTGTAGCTCAGTGGTTAGAGCACTCGCTTTGCAAGTGAGAGACCTGAGTTCAATTCCAGGCAGAGGGCGAAACCTTGGGCAAGTTTCCTTACTCCACACAGAGCCTAATAATAATCCCTCCAAAACCAAAACAATAATAAATTGGTCATTTTCAATCTACGACTGTTTGTGGGACATTGCTGTGCGCAATTGGCTGCCGCGTTCGCCCACAAATATACAGTCAATTCACTTTACAGTGTGTTCTGTGAAACGCTTTGGGACGTCGATAAGACGTGAAAAACGCTATATCAAATGCAAGGATTATTATTATTATAAGTATGTATCATTGGCCGGAGGAACTCTGTTCCAATGTGATCTACTGTGGAGTGGAGATCCTACAAGTCATTAAGATATCCTGATAAATACTGCAAATTAGACCCCATTAACAGTGCAGGAGTCAGGCTCCACCACTGTTAAGCGCTCTGAGACGATACCCTGTTTGGAGGGCGCGATATAAGTGCAAGTTTTTTTGTTGAAGGCATCTGGAGTACTGTTTCCATTGGTTAGCAAATCGGTATATCACAATTATAATGGAAATCTCAGGGAAGCTTCAATAATGTCCTAGAGGCACAACAATACAATACAAAACACAATACAAAATTACATTTTCACATCAGGAGCCACGCATTTCAAGCTGACTAACTACATTAGTTGGACAAATTATGAAACAAACACTTTCACCCATTTCACCCAGTTTGGGGGAGGAAGTCAGGTGGCCCCAAACATCTTTGGGGGGAGAAAGCTAGGATTTAAAACGTGGCAGACTTACTCTTTCTTCTGACTCTTTTTGCTTGTAGTATTAATCATTTTCATTCCGGTATGGTAAAGTCTCTCTGCCTCCTGTGCAAGTTTTCTTTTATTTGCTTGTTCGTCGGCTAATAGCAGGAAATATTCAAATTAGTGGATATTTCCTAGTTTTAATTTCATACTTCATGGGTCAAAATGTCAAGAGAGTAAAAATAATAATTTGGTCTCTCAATCCACGACTGTTTGTGGGGATGCGCAATTGGCTGCTGCATTTCGCCCACAAAATGTACAGTAACTACACTTTTTTTTACAGTATATTCTGTGACGCGCTTTGAGACGCCTCGAAGACGTGATAAAGCAGCCCCTTGATTTATTGATGGGTTTCGCAGTCCTATCCTTGCATAAAGAACTAGGTTTGGGTCATTTGAGATGTCTCGAAGACGTGATAAGAGGCTGTATCAAATGAAGGCTTATTATTATTATTTTATCCTAATCATACCCCCATTTTGATTTTGTTTTGTGAGGCGAACACAAATTTTTACAAACACGGTTCAATCGCATTGTTCGGTCACACAAGGCTGAACCCCATAGCTCACTTTCACAGAATCCCCACATCTTCTCCTGGTTATAATTGTAGGTTGTTCCACACCAGAACCGGTCATCATCTCGTCCATCCGTGGTGCAGCTCATGTACTCTCGGTCCAGGAACAGGAAGGGAAAAACACACGGCTCGCCGTTTCCACTGCCACCAATAGCTATTACACCTGCAATGAATAAATCAAACTTTCTGTAGGCAAGATATCAAATCAAACCAATATGCGTCTACTTTCAAGATCAACTGCTTTGGACGTAAGCTGTTCGTAATTCGACAGAAGAAGAAACAGAAGAATAATGTGACTGACTCCACAATTCAATAGCAGTAACAAATCAAACACTACGATTGAATCTTGACATTTTGCATGTGCTATGGGTGTTTATCACAATGATAGCACCGATTAGGGCAAAATGGTTCTGTACTGATTTATTTGGGAAACTAAGCCCACAAACCATACTCAATAACATAGCATACGGCTTATGAAAATGGAGAGAAATTGGGACTATTCCAGATCTGAGATGACATTTCATTGCCTGCCAACACTCCCAGTCCCGTGCTCCATGAACAAGGGCACTGTTGGCAGGCACCAGCACCCCAGAATGAACAATAATTTCAAGAAGATGGAAAGTAGCAGAAGCTGTGTGCTGAAGGGTTTAAGATCTAAGTTTGTGTTCTGCGTCCATACTATAGAAGTGGAATGCCAACAAGTAATCTGCGCTGGATTCTCTCTCCTAGTTTCTTTCTGTTCCTTTCCATGTTCTTTCAAACTAAATCTTTTGAAAAATCAGATTACACAGTCCAAACATTTTAGATTCCCCCCCAGTCATTTCACTTTACAGTATATTCTGTGAAAAGCTTTGAGGCGTCTCAAAGACATGATAATGCGCTATAGCAAATGCAAGGATTATTATTATACTATTATTACAACAACAACAAAATTACATGTGTATAGTGCCTTACAAGTCGTGAGGAAGTCCCAAGGCGCTGGACAATCAGTGCTTTGGACCGGAGCTGGGGTCGGGATTGGGGAGGGTGGAGGGCGGGGGGGGGGGGGGAAGGAGGGTGACCAAAAGCATGGTCGAAGAGGAGGGTCTTGAGACACGTCTTAAAAGAGGTAAGGGAGGGGGCAAGGCCGAGGGACTGTGGCATGATATTCCAGAGGGTAGTGGCAGAAGGTCCGCCCGCCAATGGTGGGGCTGGCGAGACGGGGGACGTAAAGTAGGCCGGAGCCCGCTGAGTGGAGGGAGCGGGCAGGTTTGTAGGGGGTTAGGAGATCACAGAGTAGGGGGGAGCGAGGCCATGGGGGGTTTTGAAAGTGAGGACCAGGATCTTGAAACTGATTACAAATCGTGGTTCAAGAGTTCAAGAGAATGTTACATAAAAAAAACACAAAAAGTTAATGTTAGCACTTGGAATTCTCTCTATAACTAGAAGAATCATAATGTCCTGCACAAGGTTAATCTTCTGCACAGTAGTCATACATTTTCCAACCATTTTACGAACAATGATTATACTTTGTTGAATCATAATAAATATAATCTACCAATTATAAATTACTTTCCATGACGTGGTCTTGTAAGATAGCATGAATAAAAAACAAATTGTATAGCAATTTATTTTCTGTCACGGAGAGCATATTTTTGCTTAGCATTACAGAAAATTTGAATATTGTTGAATACGTGGCATTAACTAACTTCAGGGGAAAAAAGCTTAAGAAACATCTGTTTAATCTATTGCTGATCTAGTGCTATTACGGTCGATTGCTGGTGCGAACTATTTTATTTATAGACACATGCAGTATTAAGAGGTTCAGAGGAAAACACACACAACAAACACTGCAAAATATCTCCAATGCTGTGTTTTACATCAAGAAACAAAGTAGATTGAGTCAGTTTTAATATTCTCTGCAGAATATGATTTCCTGGATTTGTTTTCAAGATTGCATCTAAAGTCAAGTCTCTTGTATTAACATAAGAAAATGTCAACGTTCGCGTCGCACTTGACAAAACAAGAGCTTTTTTTAAAAAAAACACACCTGCCGGATAGAACAGAAATATTTTGAGAAAAAGTGGAGAAAAAAAAGATTTCAGGGCATTGGAACATTAATATCAAAACTTTAATCACGTAGGTCAAGCCATCGGAAACAGGCACAGGTTCGGGTTTGTGAAGGGCAAACTTAGGACAAACCCAAGGAAATATTTGATTTCCATAGAATGTAATGAACTGATGAAACAGATAACCAGGGAAGTGTTGTTGAGAATGATGAATAAAACAGCTTCACGCTACAGTGGGAAAATGATATGGGTGACTATTGCAGGAGGAGAAGATCAAAATGGGACAACGTCTTGTGAAGATGCAAAGGCTAAGTGGACTGATAGCTGTGAATAGCAGTATTGCTTCAATGATTGCTTATATATTGCATATAAAAACAAAACTTACTTTCCACGGTTTTCCTATTGGTGGGAGTTTCCTCTTCAGGATTAGGCTCCTGTTGCTCATCCCCATCTTTATTTTCCCAGAGATCTTTTGCCGAGTCCATTATCTGACCGGCAACCACAGGACTTCCAGCTGAATATTCCCCATCCTTCTCTTCGCTCTGGGGATCGGTCTGAAGAATCAAAAATAAAGTAAAGGTTTCGGTTACTTTTTTAAAAAAAATACACACCTTTGTTCTCAATTCAATGACATTTCTGCTGTGCGCAATTAGCTGCCATGTTTCACCCACAAAATATACAGTCAATTCACTTTACAGCGTATTCTGTGAAGCGCTTTGAGACGTCTCGAAGACATGATAAGACACTCTATCAAATGCCAGGATTATTATTATTAATCTGCAACAGTCTGGGAACACATCACTTGTGAAATCACTTGCGCAAAGGAGAGGATTAATGTGAGTTTAATTTTCTTCCATTCCCCTTGAAGGGCAGAAATGGTAAATGTTTTGCCTGTAGTGGTGCATATGTTACATTCCCTGGTGCGAAGGTCACAAAACCTGTGAATATGCAACTTAGCCACTCGACTTTGTAGCATCCGCTGGTGAGAATCAAGCAATTTACCTTCAATTCCAGTGATTCATCAATTTCTTCTACATCTGTGTAATACAGAAAAGGGGAAACATTTTAACCTGCGGCATTTTCACAATGATTATTACATGATCTAAAGCCACTCAGACAAGCACTCAGCTACCTCCATTCAAAGGTAAAGGACATACAACAGAACTGCCAACATTTCCGCAGATGTACCTCACTCCCCCACCCATTCACCCACACCCGTCAACTCCAGGTGGATGCTATCAGCCACCCCCAAACAAAGGTTCAGAATCACCCATTTAAAGGTTTAATCACAGTATTTGAGGGTTTATGGCAATAATACAACAATTACACTTATTTAGCGCCCTTCATGTCGGGAAGACGTCCCAGGCTGCAGGGACGTCAACTCTAACAGCAGAGGTAGAAGAAATGGTCAATAAAGACGTTGATGTTCTGTTGTCGTTAAATAGTAATTCTGGGTCTAACTGGTTCTCTTCAACAGCACATTACCAGCACCGATGATATGCTGGGAAAGCTGTTAGTTCTTCACAGCTGTCAGAAGAGACTTGAATGAAAGAATGCATCACCATTTTTGTCATGATATGAAGCACAAGTGAAGCAAAGATGTACTACCACAATCTGTCAAAACCATAGCAGCAGCAAATCATTCTACTCGTGGAATCTGAACTCAATCCACACACAGTAGTTGTGAGATTGTAATTTTTCAGAAGGTTACTTTGAACGGAGAATCACTTGCATTACAGAGTGGCTTTAACGCCTCAAAACACTTTAACTATCGGCTGCTGCGTTTCGCTCACAAAATGTACTGTCAATTCACTCGACAGCGTGTGGCTGTGAAGCGCTTTGAGACGTCTCGAAGACGTGACAAAGGCGCTGTGTCAAATGCCGGGGTTATTATTGTATTTATTATAACATTATCCAATTCCAGGGGTGATAACGACATTGATGCTGACACGTCATGGGGCGAACGTGAAGGTTTGCTGCCAGGAACTGAGGGACGTCTCTCTTCTATTCAAACAGAGCCGTGGGATATCTAACATCCAACTGAAAGGAACATCTCAGCCAAAGCGAAAAACACCTCATGTCACGCCAGTCCAGCACTATTTTTGGAGTATCAAGTTCCTCTCCTGATGTGGAGCTCGAACCCAGGAACGTCCGACCCACACACGAACGGCGCAAACTGACTCCAAACTAAAGTCCGCGACGGTTTGCGGGACGGACGCTGCGCGCAATCGGCTGCTGCGCTTCACCCATAAAAATGCACCGTGACTTTATTCACTCGGCAGCGAGTATCCTGTGAGGAGCTTTGAGACGTCTGGAAGGCGCTGTATCGAATGCCGGGATTATTATTTTATTATTATTGCAGCGGCTTCTCTGGGGCTGACAGCATCAGGAATATAATAACAACAACAGTCATAATGACAATAATTCCCGGCATTTGACACCGCGTCCGATCACGTCTTCGAGACGCCTCAAAGCGCTTCACGGGATACACCGTCAAGTGAAGTGACTGTGTGTTGAACAGCAGAGAGTTTAATATACATTTATATACAATACAATAAACACCAACACACAGGAACGACCCGAGTGACCCCACACCCTAAAGCCTGGCTCCCCCCCACACACACCCCCACACACACCCCCACACACACAACCCCCCCACACACACCCCCCCACACACACCCCCACACACACCCCCACACACACACCCCCACACACACAACCCCCCCACACACACCCCCACACACACACCCCCACACACACAACCCCCCACACACACCCCCACACACACACACCCCCACACACACCCCCACACTCACACCCCCACATACACACCCCCACACACACACACCCCCACACCCCCACACACCCCCCCCCACACACACCCCCCCACACTCACACCCCCACACTCACACCCCCACACTCACACCCCCACACACACCCCCTCCACCCCCCACCCCTACCCCCCCCCACACCCCACACACACCCCCACACACACACCCCCACACACACCCCCCCACACACACACACCCCCACACACACACCCCCACACACACAACCCCCCCCACCCACACCCTCCACCCACACCCCCACACAACCCCCCCACACCCACCCCCCCACACAACCCCACCACACACCCCCCACCCCACCCCCACACACACAACCCCACACACACACCTCCCACCCCCCCACCCCCACACCGGCCCTCAGCCCCGGGGCGCGTTCCTCCCGCCAACCACACAGTCACTACAGTTGATGAGCGAGGCCGGGCCTGGCGCTGTCAGTCAGTCAGTCAGTCAGTCAGGGAGGGCCTGTCCCGGACTCACCGCACAGCACTCCCCGAGGCCCCGGGCCCGGGCCCACCGACACCAACAGCACCAGCAGCGGCGGGAGGAGCAGCCACAGCCCCGGGCCCGGGCGGCGCCTCAGCGGCGGGTTAACGGCCGCCATCACAGACACAGAGACACACACACACACAGAGAGAGAGAGCGACAGAGACCGACTCCTCCCTCAGGGCTCCGCCGCCCCGACCCGACCGGACCTCCGCCAAACCCCCGCCTCAACACAGACAAGGCCCCGCCCGCCCGCCCGCCCAAACACCGCTGCCCCCGCCCCCAAAATAGCCCAAAATAGCCCAAACCACACGTCTCCAAAACAGCTCCCCCACAAAACCCCAACAGCACCAACACCAGCCCCGCCCCCAAAGTAGCCCAAAATAGCCCAAACGCAAGGCCCGGCCCCCAAAAAAGCCCCTAAAACTAGCCCAATACAGCCCACAAAGTAGCCCAAACACAAGACCCCATGGGGGGGGTGGGGGGGTGAGGGGTGAATGGGGCACGAAACAAAAAAAACGCTTAAAGGGTTTCAATTTTAAGAGAAATTTTAAAAAAATCAGGCAGTTACCGCGGCGCCTATTTATTTAATCAACAAAAGAGCCCAATTGGGGCGTGAAACCCGCCCAACGCGGCTCACTCTCTGCCCCGCCCCCCCCCCGGCCGGAGGTGGGCCTGCCAGACGTTTGACCAATCAGCGGCCCCCACACATCCAAGGCGTCGACCAATCAGCGGCCCCCACACTTCCAGGGCGTCGACCAATCAGCGGCCCTCACACATCCCGGGTGTCGGGAGGTGAGCGGTGGCGCCACGTGTCACCACGTTCAGTCGCCGCCCTCCCATTGGGCGGCAGGTCGGAGCGGACACGCCCCTTTCCCCCCCCCCGGGGCCGGGTCTGATGCGCATGCGCGAGAGATGGTATCCAATGAGAGAGTAACAATGTGTCAGAACTGTTATCAGTTGTTTATTGTTTATTTATTTGTTTATTTGTTTATTTGTTTGTTTGTTTGTTTGTTTGTTTGTTTGATCAGTGGGGGCAGTGCGGGAGACAATTGGTTAAAATTACAGCGGATAACGTGTGTTTTTTCCCCAAATATATATATATATATATATTTATATATTTGGTGTTATCCTCACGGAGATGATATTTAATAATAATAATAATAATAATCCTTGTATTGTGACGCAGAGCCCTCAAAGGCGCTGCCCGGGGTACACTGTACAGTGAATATCTTGTGGGCGAAACGCGGCAGCCAACTGCGCACGAGCCGTGTGTCCCATAAAGAGTCGTGGGTTGAAGTGACTCATTTTTTTCTAACAAAGCGATTATTACGGCCGGAAAAAGCGATCCGCAAATGAACTGGCAACCGGGTTCCTGCTTACTGCGAGGTAAACAGAGGCGTGTGGAGTAAGGAAACTCGCCCAAGGTTTCGCCCTGACCGGGAATCGAACCCAGGTCTCTCGCCTGCGAGGCCAGCGCTCTAACCACTGAGCTGCACGGACTCTGCTTTGCTTTCATTATGGGGCTGATTCACACTCTTTATAGCTGTGCTTCAAAGAGTGAAGCAACTTCACCACCCAGTAGCATAAATAACAACAGCAGCAACAACTTGCACTTATATAGAGCCCTCCGCACCGGGCGGTGTCTCAGAGCTCAGCAATGATGGAGCCCGAGGCCGAGCCGGGGGGAGGGGAAGGTGACTGTAGGCTCGGTCGAAAAGGAAGGTCTTCGGGCGCGAACTGAAGATGGGGAAGGAACTCCCGAGGCGAGGCGAAGGGGTTGAGCGAGTTCCAAAGTTTTGTGGCGTAATGGCTGAAGGCACAGCCGCCAAGAGTGGAGCAGAGGATTTGGGGGACACGGAGGAGGTCGGATCCAGTAGAGGCCGAGGCAGCTGGTACTGCTGTGGGGAGAGAGGAGGTTAGAGAGATGGGGGTGGGGCAGGCAAGGAATGGAGGGATTTCAACACTAGAGTGAGGATCTTGAAGTGGATCTGCTCTGTGACAGGAGCCAGTGGAGTTTGGCCAGGACTGGAGTAATCAGGGTACGCAGTTTGGTGTGGGTGAGAATGCGGGTGGTGGACTTTTGAATGAGCTGGATTTTGTGACTAGTGGAGGAGGGGAGACTGGCGAGGAGGGGGTTAGAGTCCAGCCGAGATGACAAAGGCATGGACAAGGGTTTCAGCAGCTTTTGGGGTGAACTATTGTCGGAGATGGAAGAAAGTGGTGCTGGTCAGGGACCGGATGTGGGGGAGGAAGGATAACTGGGGATCGAACCTGATGCCTACGTTGCGCTCGGGTTCAGAGTTTTAAGGACAAGTCGGGGTAGATTGAGGAGGTCGGAACTCTGGGCAGAAGACGGGAGCCAAAGATTATGGCTTCCGTCTTGTTGATGTTTAACTGCAGGAAATTTGTGCTCATCCAACTCTTGATGCCCAATAGGCAAGCTGACAGAGCATCAGGGACTGGGGGTCACAGCTGGAGGTGGAAAAGTAGAGTTGAGTGTCATCTGCATACATGTGGGAGTTAACCCCGTGTCTGCGGATGATGTCACTGAGAGGGGGCATAGAGATGAGGAAGAGAAGGAGCCAAGGCTGGATTGTTGGGGTATCTACCCCGCAAGTAACCGGGTGGAAGCGCGAAGAAAAGCCATTTGCAGAAATGTAGCGCTGGCGGTTTGTAAGGTAGGACTCGAACCAAGTGAGTGCGGTCCCACTGAGGTGGATGATGGAGGACAGGCGGTGGAGGAGGATGGCGTGATCGACTGTGTTGAACATGGCAGAGAGGTCCAGGAGGGCGAGGAGGCAGAGGGAGCCCTGGTCACAGATAGAGAGGATAATGGTTTGTGACCTTCACGAGTGCTGTCTCTGTGCTGTGGGCAGTCAGGGCGGAAACTGGACTGGTTGGAGTAGGGTGTGGAGGGAGAGGTGTGCGTGGAGTTAGTTGGCAACAATGCGTTCCAGAGCTTTGGCAAAGAAGGGCAGGTTTGAGATAGGGCGAGAGTGGCCGAGGTTGGAGGGATTGAGGGTAGGTTTTTTAAGGAGGGGGGTGATGACTGCGGTTTTGAGGGCGAGTCGGACTGATGGATAGAGACTGGTCAATAGTGCCTGCCAGCAGTGGGCAAAGGAGGGGGCGCTGGGTGATCAGCAGTTGGGTGGGACGGGGGTCGAAGCAGCAGGTGGTGGGTTTTATTGTGGTGGTGGTGGGATGAGAGGGAGGAAGGAGAGATGGGGGCAAATGAATGTAGGATGGGGGCCAGTGGTAGGAGCTGAGGACGGGGTGCGTGGGGGAGAAGGAATGGGGGTGGTGGTAGGCGACAATGTAGCATATAAGCTCTCCAGCGTCCAATGTGTAATTGCTATCTGACGGTTCATTATATTTGAGTTGATGGGGATACAACTGAGATTAAAGTGGGATAGGATAACTGAAATAGGATAACAAATCTCATTACAAGCTTTTCTGCTTTGGTACATTGAGATTAATGAATCTTTAGGGAAGTTGCCAAATTGCATTGCAATCGAATGTGGGGTGGTGGAGCCGGGGGTGGGGTGGGGGGGTGGGGGGGGGGGGGGTGGTGGAGCAACAAAATTGCTGATATTTATATTTACTGCAAAGATTCTGCTGGAAAAATTCAAAATCTTTGTGCTTTTGGCCACTATCTCTATACTCTCAGGTCAGGTTCCCACTCAGTCTCTGAAGTGCTTTTGAGCTGTTCTCCATAGGTAAAAGGTTAATTACTTCTTAATTATGCAACGTTGTTAGTTAAGTAATTGAGCAACAAAATGCTTTTAGGAATACCACATCACCCTTACAATTTGTAAAATAAATGTTGTGGTCTTAAATGGATCACTTTTTTCCCCGCCTCAGTACTTCATTGCTGTCAGTCATATAGATTAACAACAACTGCAGTTGCAAGACGCTGCTGTTTTCAATATCCTTTGAGTCCTTTTTGTAATGAAAGGACAATTAATTATGTCCATCTTTAACATAATCACTCTTGCACATGGTTGATTAATCTCAAATATGTGCGTGACCGACTTTCTCCTATTGCATTAAAGTGTACAGTGAAAAAGCATCCATTACCTTGGTGACACCTGTCTGATCAGTTTGTGAACAAAATCCTGCTTCATAATTCATCTCTGGGAACATTCTTTAAATAATGGAGGCATTATGATTAAATTTGTTCATTTATATTTGATTATGGTTAGAGGAATTCGATTTGCAATCATATTGGATCTGAACAGACTGAAAGGTGTCAAGAACTCCGAGCATAAATTTCACTGCTGTGTGGCTGATTGACAAATTCATCAATTTATACAAATGCAGGAACTTGAGTACTACAGTATTCCCATCTGAATACCAGTTTTTCAACCAATAACTTTTAATATTTTTTGATAAGGCGACTAGGGAGGATCTATTTCTACTGGTCAGAGTCTAACTGGAGGCCATGAATATAAAATCAGCAAAAAATAGATTTTTATTTACAATGAATACTTTTGATCTCGTGGCCACCAATATACAGGAAATAAAGGCAGCAATTCTTGTGATGAATGAACAGAAGGTCGATCAGCCACTGACAGAAAAAGATGGGTCAGCTTTTTGGATGTAACCCTTGATCACGCTGGATGCAAGGGTCACCCTGAAATAATAAATGATCTTCTATTGTAAATGCCGGTTAACCTGGTATATTCCAATATTTTCCAGTTTATCGAGTGTTTTTCTCATTTCCATTGCATCAGGAATTCTTGTCTGGATCTGAAACAAGTAACTGAAGTCTTTGAAGCATTTCCTACAGGCTGTTTAAAATAAGGTTACTAATAAAAATCCTCGTAATTTTCACATCGCGCATTCACGGGCATTGTTACTATAGAATCCGAATAATAATAATCCTTGCATTTGATACAGCGCCTCATCACGTCGTCAGGACGTTTCAAAGCCCTTCACACAGTATTGCGGAAAGTGAATTGACTACATTTTCTGGGCGAAACGCGGCAGCCAATTGCGCACAGCAGCGTCCCCACAAACAGTGAGCGACCCAATTACACATTTTTTTTAATGGATTATTAGCCCCGGAAAGAGATCCTCCAATCGACTGACAACGTGGAGTCCTGTAGCTCAGTGGTTAGAGCACTCGCTTTGCAAGTGAGAGACCTGAGTTCAATTCCAGGCAGAGGGCGAAACCTTGGGCAAGTTTCCTTACTCCACACAGAGCCTAATAATAATCCCTCAAAAACCAAAAACAA